AAGGTCCCTGGAACCCCAAGGCCTCTGGAGTCCCAAGATCTCTGGAACCCCATGGTCTCTGGAACACCAAGGCCCCTGGAACACCAAGGCCCCTGGAATACCAAGGCCCCTGGAACCCCAAAGTCCCTCTGGAACACCAAGGCCTCTGAAAACCCAAGGAAGTTCTCTGGAACCATAGGCCCCTGGAACCCCATGGCCTCTGATACCCCAAGGCCTCTGGAACCCAAAGGCCCCTGGAATCTCACAGCCTCTGGAACTCCAAGGCCTCTGGAACCACAAGGCCCCTGGAACCCCACAGCCCCTAGAACCCCGTGGTCTCTGGAACCTCACAGTCCTGGAACCCCAAGACCCCTGGAACTGGAGCCTTGAAATACACTCCCCCTCTAAGGCTCTTCTTGACGGGTCTTTAATCACAGCAGTAAGAAACCGAAGGCTGGACCTGCGGAGCCCAGTGAGGGACACTCCTGAGGTTGGGCCCTGTGCGTCCTGGATGAGGCCCTGCCCTGATGGAGGGCCACAGTGACGTCTCTGGTCTTCTGGTGTCAGTGTCAGCTGGGAGCCAGTGTCCAGCAGTCCCCAGAAGGTCTGATTTTTTCCGTGTCCCTAGTACATAGTCACCTTGGTAGGAGCCCACATGTCCCTTGGGGGAAGACTGGGAGAAAGACCGGCAATATAAACTTCCCCTAGTGACCCGGGCTCTTGCTCCAGGGACCTGGCCTCCTTCTTTCAAGGGGTCCTGAGTCTGTGACTGGCTCAAGCTGGGGAACTGGTGAAGGACCCATGCTCCACTTTAGGGCCCCAGTTAAGACCCCCCCCTTAACCTGGAACTCTGCTTATAGAGCCACCCGTCACTTGGCAGTGGGGACAGCCTGAGAAATGTGTTGGTAGGGCATATTTAGTCATTGTGCCTAGAGTGCCCTTACATACTCAGATGGTACAGCACCGCTAGGTGACAGTCTGATGGGACCACTGTCACATGTGTACCCTGTTGATGACCCTGCCATCCTTCTGCAGCACATGGCCACCCAGACCACCCAAGCCTGCCTGTCTGTCCTAGGAACACCCTGAGTCCCGCCCACACCATTATTCTGGGTGTAGGAATAGCTGCTTTGCCACTGCCATCCATGACGGTGACCGTCCCATCTCGCCTTTGGCTGGGAAGGGCCACCACTAGGCCCCTGCTACCTGGATTCGCCCAGCCCCACTGGGCGTAGGTCTCCCATGTGGGGGCAGCTCCTGTGCGGGTGCTGCTGCAGAGCAGGGCCACCCCACAGCCAGGCTGCAGACAGAGCCACCTCCACTCACCACCCTCTGGGCCCCAGCAGCCAGCAGACCTCTCAGACCCAGCCCCGGACTGTGCAAGGTGGCCCTGCACTGTCACCTTATGCCCTCCACTCAGCCCATGATCACGGACACACCTGCACACAGGGTCACACACAGAGGCTGTGATGGACACATGGAAAGTGGCCCCCAAGGACAGAGACACCCATGGCCCAGAGACAATCCCATCCCCACACAGGTGATCCTGAGCTCTGTAGGCACAGATGCCAACTCAGAGAGACACAAGCTGTGCCCAGGCACATGTGACAGATAGCCATGACAGTGTCTCCGTCTCCCTTCCACACCCCACGTTCAGTGAGGGGCAGCTGCAGACATTCCTGTGGCTGCAGCTCCAGTGACCCCTCCGCACCGCTGCACGCTGCCCAGCTGACGCAGCGACCTCTGACCTGGGCCTGCTATCTCCTTCCTACCCAGGATTGGGCCCGGGGCACCCCTGGGATTGGGGACTCTTTAGGCCATGCCCACCCACTGCGTCCTGCAGGAAGTGGGAGGTATTTTTAGTTACAATTAACCTCCGCCCAATCTCCTGCCTCCTTAATGGCACATCCGATTGGATTAATTGGAGAGGATTAAGTGGGAGCCACCTCCAGTCACCAGGAGAAGGAGGGAGGTGCCCCTCCCAGCTCGCCTGTGTCCCAGTCTCCCCTCTGCCAGCCAGGGGACCCTTCTCCGTGCCAGGCGAGGGCTGTACGGGTGCAATTTTCTCTCTTGCAGCAGACCTCTCCCCCATAACCCTTCCACCTCCTGCCCTCAAAGGTGGGAGTGTTGGAAGTTCTTCCTGCTGTCTATCTATCCCTCATCCATCCCACTGTGGTCCTGGGGAGCTTGGGGAGAAGTAAACAGTTATCACAGTCACAAAAACAATATCGCACCCACAAAACAGTTCCGGTTAGAGTTAGAAAGTCACAACCTCTTAATCGGGGCCTGGCGGCGCACACCTGTAATCCTGGAGAGTCAGGAGGCCGAGGCAGGAGGATGGCAAATCCAAGGCCAGCCTGGGCAACTCAGTGAGACCCTATCTCAAAATAAGATCCACAGGGCTGGGACATGGCTCAGTGTCAGTGTGCCCCGGGTTCAACCCCAGCCCCTGAGTACCAGGGTTTCAGAGATTCTGTAATCAGAGAGCCTGGAGCACAAGCCGCAGGCAGGGTTGGTCTCTTGGGTCCTAGCGGGCTCTCCACACCCCAGCGGTGTGACCCTGGGCCACCAACCTCACCCCTCTAGGCTTCAGAGTCCTTGCCTGGGTGTGGGAATCTGGCGGCACCCCTCCTGGGGCTGCCCTGGGGTTTAGCAGGCTGGAAGGGTCAGGGCTCCTGCAGCCCAGCACTTGTGACAAAGGGTCAATGAATTCACAGAGTGACAGCCTACAAGCCCATCCGTACCCTGCTCTGCTTTTTATGACACATTTGTCACTTTCCAAGAGACTAAATGAGGTACAGCAGGTTCTCCACCCATGGATTCCACCAATGACAATGGAAAATAATGGAAAAATTGTAATGGCGCTTGTACTGAGCATGTGGACGTTTTTCTTGTCGTTTCCCCCTAGACGATGCAGCAGCGTTACAACTGCCCGGCACCGGGGGCTTCGGGAAGTATGAGGCACTCAGGTGATTTAAAGTCCGGGGCGAATGTGCCAGGTGCAATTGGGAGGCTGAGGCAGGCAGGAGGATCTCGAGTTCAAAGCCAGCCTCAGCCCTTTAGCAAGGTCCTGGGCGACTCATCAAGACCCTGTCTCTAAATAAAAAACAGAAAGGGGCTGGGGATGTGGCTCAGTGGTTCAGCGCCTCTGGGTTCCATCCCTGGTACCAAAACAAAACAAAACAACTGTTTGGGAGAATGTGCTGGAGTCCTATCAAATCCTACCCCACTGGACATAGGAACTTGAACACCCAGGAGCTTGGTTCCCTGAGGGGTCTGGAACCAGTCCCCTAAAGACTGAGGGCTACTTTTTTTTTGGTTCATTGTCAATCAGCTCCTGGGGGCAGGGTTTTGCCCAAAGTATGTGGACTTTTGTCCACTGGTGTTGCAGGGAGGGGACAGACAGGGACCAGACCTCAGGAGACGCTTTGTGCAAGAATAGTGAATGGCCAGAAGACCTTCTGAGCGGATGAGTGGCTGGACAGTGTCTCAGGACTCTAGAAAGTGGGTCTCCCAGGCAGGTGGAGCTGGGGCCCCTGTGTGCGCCCCGGGGCTTCTAGGGTGCAGCTTCTTGAAGGACAGCTGTGTCAATGGTGCTTCCATGCCTGTGAGCAGTTGAGGTTGCAGCTTGTGGGAGGCACAGCAAGGATCTGGCCCTGTCCCCGTCCTGCTGCACACACTGGATGTTTCCAGGGTTGGCTGTGCATGACCACATTACGAACTTTGCCTGGGTCACACTGGTGAGGCCACATGCTTAGCCATGTGTGTCAGCCTCCGTCAACATCCTGTGAGTGGCCCTCTTGGGTGCCAGCATGAGTGTGTGAGAGATCCAAAGACAGAGCTGAGGAAGAGACAGAGGCCCTGAGTGGCCCAAGTGAGGTGAGGCAGGCAGGAGGGAGACAGCTCACCTGAGACTCCGAGATGAGGGTGGATGGGGACAGGGACACAAAGACTGGAAAAGATGGAGCAGAGGGAGATGGAGGGAAATAGATTCCACACTGAGCCTGGCTGGTGTCTCGCTGAGCAGGTAGAGGATTGGTGAGCTCAGAGCCCAGTGGATGGTCAGCCCAACCTCTGAGCCTCGGAGTCGAACCCAGGACCTCGCACCTGCTAGGCAAGCACCCTGCACTGAGCCCCAACCCCTGCCTTGGACCCAGTCTTACCCGGCACCAGGCCCAGCCTGCGCAGTTTCTCTGCAACGTCTTCATTAATCCGCACGACAATCCTGTGAGGCAGACAGTCTGCAGGTGCAGAGATGGAGGCCCACGGGGGCGAAGCTGCTTGCTCCAGATCCACAGCAAATGCATCGAAGGGGGAGGATCGGCACCCATGTCCACGCACAGATGGGCACCCTTCTCAAGCCCCTGGCAAGGACAGGCTGCCCCCGGCCCCCATCAGGATGAGTCCGTGACCCCCATGGGAAAGGCTGATGCAAAAGTGGCCACGATTCTTTATCCCTCCCGTGTCCACGTCTCGGGTTGTGAATTTGCGGCACCCTGTCACCCACAAGAGGTGAGTCCGTTTCTCTTCCCTGGGTTCTGGGTGGGTGGCCTTGAAATTTTAAAGTGGCCGAGAGGATGCAGTTTGCAGAACATACTAATCATGGGGCCCCTTGGAACCCGGCCACGCCTCTGTGGGAACAAACCAGACAGCCTCCTGCTTGACGAGAGCCGTGGTCCCTCACTCCTGCGGCCCCTGCGGCCAGCCAGCCCCCAGGAGCGGAGCCCCGACTGGTCCCTACTGACAGAAGATGAGCACGTGGGCCCAGGAAGCCACCAGAACTTCTGTGTCTAGTGTAATCCACCAACATGGATGGGCACAAATTCCAGGCAGTTTGTCATCTGGCGGTAGCTAACGGAGGCACGTTAGGCGCCCCCACAGAGAGCAGGATAAAGAGCGCCTGTGATCGCATCATCAGGATTCTGGAACCTCAGAGTTCTGAGGTTTGGAATCTTGAAAAGACACAAGGATTCGAATTGATGGCTTTGTTTTTAAGACTTTATCTTTAAAAAAAAAAAAAAGTAGAAGACATCAGAGAAGGGGGAGGGGGAGGCGGAGGGGGGATGGGGTGAGAGGGTGAAGGAATCGCTCCCAAATGTCGGATCCGGGTGACCCCCTTCCCCGATGGCTCCAGCCCACTCCCAGTCCCTTCTCTGTCCTGGAGGTGGGCCCTGGCCACCATCTTCTGCGGACCATGCCCAGGCTCTCAGGTCCCAGGCAAAGGTGAAGGCAGAAGTGGGTGCAGGGCCTGGAGGTCTTGTCTGTGTCCTTGAGAGACCCTCAAGTGGATGCTCAGGTCCCCCATGTCCCAGTGAGGCCCCAGGGAGGTAGGCATTAAGTGGAGGGGCCTTTGGAGCTGGAGTCCTGAAGCAGAGGGCCTGGCAGGGACCAACTGGGCACAGGCTGTGGTCACATCTGGAGGCTGGAGTCTGTGGGAGGTGAGGAAAGGCCACTCAGGAGGCGGGGAGGGCTGGGTCACATCTGTCCCTCTGTGCACAGCCCTGAAGTGAGGCAGGGAGATGCAGGGAGAGGGACCGAGGGACAAGGGTGAGGAGGGGACCCCAGAGCAGGGGTTTCGGGAGATGGAGGGGAGGTGTGGGAACAGAGGGGACGGGCAGAGGCAGCTGAGGAGAGGCAGAGGAGGACACCGAGAGAGAGTGGGACAGGGGGAGGGAGTAGAGGGACTGGGGCGAGTGTAGGGTGCCTCCCAGGGACAGAGAGGACTGAAGAGGGGGCAGAGAGGGACAAGGGTGAGGAAAGCGGCTGGGGGAGCTGGGGACGCAGGACGAGGACCCCCATCACCAAGCTGCCACTCAAGCCAGGCCACCCCTGCCCACACCTGGCCATGCAGAGCTGAGCCCATCAGCCCACCAGGCCTGGGCAAACCCACCCACCTCTCCTTCCCTTCCCGGCTCAGGCCCCAGGCCCCCGGCCCCCGGGACCCCTTGCCCCAGGCCCCCATGGTCCTTACCCACCTGCCTGCGCCCCACCCGAGCCCTCCCTCCCTGCTTGTGTGGGGCAGGTGCCATCTCAGCGCCCAGAGACCTGTAGGGCTCTGGGACTTCACATACGGGGTTCCCTCTGCTGGACCCTCCACCCCTTGGGTCAGCAAGAGTCGTCTCCTCCAGGAAGCCCTCGGTGAATGCTCTGGTCTGGGTCAAACGCCCCCCCCCAACCCTACCTCCTGGGACTGATGGCCCCTCCTGGCTCCTCCCACTCCTAGGGCTCCACGTCAAGGGCCCATCCTGGGTCATCGCCCTCTGGGGTGGGCCTGTCTCCCCACTGGACTATGTGCCCTGGAGGGCAGGGCTGCGTTTTCATGGCCACTGTTGTGTCCCTAGCACCTCCCAGCACAGGGCTGGGCACAGAGGGGCACAGGGCATGTGTACTGGATGGACGGATGGAGACTAAAGAGTTCCGATGTCCAGTGAGCCCTGAGAGCCACAGAGGGCTTTAACCGGGAGAGTCGGGTGGTTTGGAAGGCCACGCGGAAGCCCTCCACACCCCGGGCCTTTGCACAGGCTGTTCTGCGTTTCTGTGGCGGGTGAGTGGATGGACAATTGGTGAGACAGTGGGCAGGTCTTGTGGCGGCCACTGGGTGGCTGGGTAGGTGGTGGACGGTGGAGTGGGTGTGTGAGGGCAGGGTTAGCGGGATCGAGAGTGGGCAGGGAGTGGGGACGGGGTGGAGGGTGGTGAGTGGATGAGTGACGGATGATGGATGGCGGGGTGAGTGGCCGGGTGGATGGGGACAGGTGTTGACTGAGGAATCATCTTTCCACCGAGCCCTGGAGGAGCCTCAGTTCAGGGACCCAGGCAGACCCTGCCGTGGAGTGGAGGGATGGACCCACTGCGGGAGCCGGGAGTTCTCATGAAGGTCTGAGAGCTGTGCACCCCAGAAATAGGTCACTCACCTCCTGAACTCCGTCTCTATAGGTAATGCCACTCTCCTTCCAAGTTCAGACTCATGCCCACTGAGCCTGGAAGGGGAAAGGGGAAAGTTAGTGGGTCTTCCCACCCCCGATGCCCCTCTGTGCCTCCCACCCTTCCTTCACCCCTGGCTGCTCTACCAGGACAGACTGAGTCATGTTTTAAGAGGGTGCTGGCCCTTTAAGAAAAAGTGACTCCTTTCCCTGTGACGGGCTGAGCCTGGAGAAGGTGGGACCAGGACATCTGCACTGGCATCTGCTGCTCCCCTCTGCAAACAAGAAGGAGTGGGGTCCGGGTGGGGTCGGCCTTACCGGGTGGCCTGACAGTCAGATGCGGCTGAGTCTCAGCGTAGCCTGCCACGGGCTGGCCCTCGGGGCTGAAGACGGCGCCTGGCCCTAGGAAGGGGTCGGGTGAGGGGGAGCCAGGGGGGTTCCCTCCTTAACGTGCTCAGAGCCGCGTCCCCCCACCCCGTACCTGTGCGGTTGGATTGGTCGATCATGGGTTGCACGATGCGTCTCCTGGCGTTAATGAACCTGGAGCCGGTCACAAGACCCAAGGGCGTCAGGAGGGGGCAGGCGGGGGCGGACGGGGCGGGGAGAGGGGACAGCAGGTGCAGGGGCTGCGGCCCAGGCCTCCTTCAGCACCGCGGACAGTGCCGGCCTCCCACCCGCTGCCCAGCAACCTGGCGCCACTCACCAGTTGTTGACCTGCAGGATGGTGAGCCCCGTGTCCTGTGCCAGCTGTTTCTTCTGCTCCTCTGAGGGGTACGGGTGCTGCAGCCACGGGGGCAAGAGTCACTCTGCCCGCCCAGGCGCCCCCTGGCCCCCAGTGCCTGACCTGGCCCGCAGGGTCAAGGGATGGTGGCACAAGTTGGGCAGGAGAGCCACCCGGGAAGGCGAAGCCCAGCGGGCGCCCAGCGATCACCCACAGCCGGGCCCTTTCCAGCAACTCGAGGCTGGTTGGCCAACTTGCTTTAGGGGGCTCCACCACAAGGTGGGCTCTGTGGGGCGGGGCTGGCCCTGCTCCCCTCTCCGTCAGGGTCCCAGCGGGCGCCTCTCCCTACCCCTGTTCCCACCCCACATGGTCCTGGCCTGGGACTCCCTACATCGTGACTCAGTCCCCTGCCTCTGAGTTGCTATTTCTCTGTCTCTGTCTCTGTCCCTCTGTCCCTCAGTCCCTCTCTATTTTTCTGCCTGTCTCCATGAGGGTGCGGGGTGGGTGGTGAAGGCCAGACCGCCTGCGTTTGAAACCACTTCCGGCTGTGCGACCTGGAGCAAGCCCTAACCCTCTGGGTCTCAGTCTCCTCATCTGAACAGCCCAGGGCTGTGTCTGATAGACGGGGGTGACTGAGGGATGGTGATGGGCTGTCGCACACACCTGAGAACTGCTCCTGTCCTCCCCATCTCCGTGAGTCCCCTCCGTGTCCCCCTCCCCTGTTGAGTCTCATCTCCAGGTTCCTCTAGGGGGCTTGGTCACCCGCATCTTTCTCCAGGCCCACCCTGCACCTGGGCAGCAGGGCCCTCACCGAGAGGTGCTGGAACAACCAGGCTCGCATGATGTTGGTCGCCACCTTGGGGAAGATCCCTCGCTTCTTATTCCGCCGCCGCTCCTGGTCCAGCTCCTCGTCCTCTCCCCCAGAGCTGGGAGAGGCCACGCTTGTGTCCAGCCCATCTCCTGAGGGGACACAGGCAGGCTGCACTGGTGAACAGTGATGAGCAGGGGACCGAGGACCCCAGAACCCTCGCCCTAGACACCAGACCTCAGCTCTCTGTGCCCCTCTGAAAGTCTTCCTTGCCGTCTAGTCAATCCTTGGACCAACCCCCATGCTTCTTCTTGACCTCCCAAGTTCCTCACCTTGGTCGCTGGAGTTGTCCCCACTGTGAGAGGCCAAGCCCCCGCTGGATGGACCCGGAGTCCCCAAATGGACAGACCCACTGTCCTCATGGTCTCTGATCCATGTGTTATTCTAGAAAACAGGAGTTGGGTGTCAATGCCAAGACTCGGGGCACCGAAAAGCACAGGGAGCACGTGCTCTGGAGCTGGGACTTCTTACTTGTTTCTGCCTCTTCCCTTTCCTGGCTGTGTGATCTTGGGCAAGTCACTTCACCCCTCTGTGCCTCAGTTTCCTCTACTGGGAAATGGGGGACAGTAACAGTTCTCACTTCAGAGTGTGTTCGGTGAGCTAATCTATGTAAAGGCACACAGCAATCACCCGGGAAAGATGAGCTGACACAGGTCTACAGCACCATATCTGGAATCCTTGGGACAAGGAGCAATTCAGTTCAGAACTCCTCACACTTCAAACAGGAAATCAGCTCATTCATGGCCGTATTTCCTTAATCGCCCCCAGCAGGGTCTGGGGCATAACCTCATCATCAAACTCATTAACATTTCTGTAGCAAAACGGATGGATATTTAACTAAGTGGAATAAATAAAGGCTATAAATAGCGTCCCATTAGTTCAGGTCAGATTTTTGCTGCCAAATGAGTTGGCGCTGGACTTATGGGGCAGGGGAGCCCAAATCCGAGATTTCAGATATTTTAAGGTCTTAAAATTGCAGATCAGGGATTTGGGGATTGTGTCTTATTTTTTCTTCCTCCCTCACCCCCAGCAGTAGGGACTGAATCCAAGGCCTTCCATATGCTAGGCGTGAGCTCTAGCATGGAACATTTTTTTTGAGCCAGGGTCTTCCTAAGTTGTTGAGGCTGGCCTCCTATGATCCTCCTGCCTCAGGGGTTGTAGGTGGGAGTCACTGTGTCTGCCAGGGCTGTATTTTCTTTACCCAAACTCTGACACACTTTGAGGAACTTGGCAATGTGTTCGATTCACCCTGTGCCCCAGCTGTGACCCAGGAGGCCGGCCCACCTATAGCCACCATGTGAGGATTTCTTTTGTCATTTGGTTTAAGATTGGGTTGGTTTCGGCCAGGGGGCTGCAGACTCGCTGTGTCCTTCCACCAAAGTCTCAGCAACATCCTGCTCATCTCTCTAGTCCTGGCAACCACTGGAAACAGCTGCCTGCATCTGCCAAACTGGGGTACCCCCCTGCACTCAAGCCTGCCCACCATGTGCACAGCCCCTCCCACCTTCCACACCCTGCTGGATGTGCCCTGCTTCCCACTGGGGCTCAAGGATTTTCCCAGACTCCATATATCTATATGGAATCGGGCAACTTGGCATGCTATAGGGTGAGTTGTGTTCAATTTCAGAATCGCTCAGGTCCGGGAGCTTGTGAC